GTATAAAGACGCTTAAGTTGAAGAACCAATCTTTTAATTTAATTTTCCGGATATTACCCACAGACCGAAATGCGCTTTATGGGTTAATCCCAGTTAAAGAAGCAATTGCACACAAGTTTCCTCCATTCTAAAACCTCAGTTTTAATACCAAATCGACTAATGCACAGTTCATTTGAGGCGCTGTTAACTTGAGCATATCTAAAAGTACCGATTGGTTCTTCTAATAGACAGCAGTTTGTCAATTTGTAAGCCAGTTGCATGTATAAATTTCGTTCACAGTTAACGCGTGAAAACGCGTCACAGGGTATTCATATTAGATGACACTTTATGCCGCTTTTCGTGACAGTGAGTGTTTCCGTCTGATTGTCAGGTCATCGCCCGTGTGCAGGATGCCTTCGGAGATAGTACATAAGATTTCGTGAATTAAAGCGTCTGTGGTGATCCTGAAAGCATTGCACACTGACTATAGACGCACAGACAAAGGCAATTAATAAACAGTTGGAAACTGCACGGAGGTTAAATGAGCTCAACGTTCAGCTACACAGAAAACAATGGTCAAACCGAATTTAACATGTAACAGGCCACACAATTTAGCGGAAAACTACTACGAACCAGTAAAAAGACTGGGTCCAAAAGGGACTTTACGGAGCCTTATAAACCTGAGCTAATTTTATCGAGTTAACAGGCAATGAGGCTATCTGTATACTCACTGCAACGAAAGAACATGCGAACTAAGACTCAATGCAGTAACTATCGTAGCATACGCCATGGTTCAGGAGACATCAGCCAAATATTTTAATACACCGTGACAATTCGGAATACCAAGTCAGAAAGGGCAATGGTCGAAGATCGAAGCCGCTTGTTCATCTCTCTGAGCCTTCAACCAAACGGCGTCAAAAGAGCATCTCCTGTTGGATGAAGGCAGTTTATTTTTAGCTCTTTTATGAAACATCCTGTCATGTAACCAGAGATTCGGGATGGCCTTGGAGTTCTCTTAGCTGCTAATAGATTTCTCCCACAAAGCGGACGTTCATTTTTTTGAAAAATGTTGAACAGCCTCACTTGATATTCAGAGGACTGGAAGTTAAAGAAGATTAAACTTATTTGCTTCGGTTTCATGGACATTCGACGAAGCAGTTAGTATAGATAGTACGTCAGCTGATCCTATTAGCCGGCAGCATATTTTCTGCTAAACGCATTACAACCCGGGCCATACTTTGCAACAACTTCAATCTCTCTAGAGTCTCGGTCTACAGATTAGCAAAGATGCCAGCAGAGATGACTAACGGCAAAATCGGCAAAGATTACTGGTGACGGGAAAGGAAAAATGACTGATCTGATCTGTACGCATACGCGTGCCCTCCTAAATATTTGTATTAACTCCAAAAGCGTATCAGGAATTGTACCAACTATCATCATTGCACTATCTTCAAAATAAGCCAGTAAACGACTGTCTAAGATAATGTCAACGTCTCTTGTCTGCTTTCGACTGCTCGTGCGGCTTCTGTTCTCAGGAAAAACATGATTAAAACATGTCAGAATCATTATGTGTAGCGTTACTAGTACTAAATAACTATACAAGATCCTGACTGTCCTTGTATTGCAATAATGTGAAACGGATTTCAGAAAACGGTTAAACGTACCTGCTTTTGTTTTAAAATGAAATTATCTATAATAAAGACATTAAAAAGTGTCAAATAATTTACTAACCCCTTTCGCGGTGCGAAATATGGTCCGTTTTCTATACGAAATCCTCAACTATATGATGGTTTGCCATCAAATAATGCAAGCACTGGCGCCTTTGATGTTTTTCGCATGGATGTCTTAAAGGACCAACACTAAAGAATTCGTAGATACTACCCTAATCAACAAAGCCAAGACTGGCTTTCGGAAAAATTGTAATTGAGTGGTTCAAGCGTGTCGCACGCGAGGGATAAATGCAAAAAAATTAAGTTGCAGAAACAAGTAACATATTTGAGATTAAACAGACGAAAAGGGCGAGGTATTCATACGATGTCGTCATTTAAAGCACACATCGTGACGCAAAACACCAAGTTTTAGAATATGATACTGAAGTTAAGGCATGGTCTCGCCAACATAGTTACGAAAACCGCAATATTGATATAAAATGATCCCTGAATCCCCAGCTCAAACACTACCGAGCACTGGAATCAAAGAGCCTCGCACATAAACGCACACGTATCTACTACTTTTTCATCACAATTTGGACATAGATAGCCGAAGATACCTCACACCAGCTTGACTCCCAATTTCTCGTCTGCTTGCAGGAGAGTTTGTAGTGAACATTGTCCGCCTCACTCAACAAATGGAACACAGAAGACCTTTCTACGCCGAGTGCCGTCTCTCACCGCGACCGTCTGTACCTGTTGACTACACCTGGTACTTCCAAGGTCGAGTCTTCTCTCGCGGTGAACGCCTCAGCATTCCTGAACTGAACGAGAACACCGTTGGTGACTACACCTGTCAGGCACGGTTCAGGCCGACAGGCGGTTCGACTGTCGAGGGGAAGGCGACTATTTCTCTACGCTACAATTTTATACCTGCGGATTCTCTCACTGGTGGGTTCGTGATTCGTCTAACGATGTTTCTTAAAAAAATGCCTGGCATCCTTTTCCATAACGTAACCGTTACTAACACCACCCCCACCTGCTACGGACTAGAGACCCGGAGGTCGTAGCGGACAGAAATGGGCATGTTCCCGTGAAATGCCTACAAAACAAAAAAATCACTATGGGCTCATTCACTAAATTAAACCGAGACGAAAAGGGCGTTCTTATGAACGATTGCAAGTGGAGATATGGTTGACTTATAAGCAATACAATTATAGCTATATACATGCTGAAAAGAGGTGGTTGTGATCTATGATAGGCAGGAGAATAATTTGAAGCAAAAGGCAATTTGCGCATACTTATTTGCTTTCTTCACTTTCAAGATCCCCAGATCTACCGAGTGAGTATTAATCCGCTGACCGAAAGACCTGCACGCGGATCACCCTTCTATGCCGACTGTCGTCTGCAACCGCAGCCC